GAGAAATTGACCTATTTGGGAGACATTTAGGTGGTAATATTGAAGGACTCCGTGATGGATTGGATGTGATGGTGGAAGAGTGGAGGTGGGAGGGTCAGTAACTCCTGATTTTCTGGCTTACATAGCTGGTTTTTTGATGAGATAAGGAAACGAGAAAAGAAAAGGGTTTGCAGAGAAAACATATGAGTTTGGTTGCCTTGGAGACATGGAAGAGGAGAAGTCCCTTAGGCATCATGGATGCCCAACTCTGAGTAGAGAGCATGGGGGAAAAAACGCATACTTGCATACTTCACGCGGAGAAGTTTTCAGTCGTTGATCAATGACCTTTTGATGAGATGGCTATAATCTCTGCTCTGTTTCCATCAATACTCTTAGACGGTGAAGATAATTGTGCAGCTTAATCCCTCTGTGTGGAAGAAGGACATTATACTTGCTCTCCTTAAAATTGTCATTGTTGGATTTGTCTACCTTTTCTGCTTTTCCATCTGCTCTCACTGATCCAAATTGCTACACCAGAAGTATTTTCTCATGACCAGTGATGAAAATGAGAGAAATGGCAGTGACCGGCAGGTAGAAGTGGAGACGTATCTCAAAATGCATCTCTTGATTTTGATCATTTTATCAGGTGTCGGTCACTCTTTAGATCCTCGATGTGTGAGACACCTTATTGTCCATCTTCACTCTAGGCTTGATTTTTCTTTCTCTGGTTTTTCTGGCTCAGAAGAAGGGCCGGCAGAGTCATTTCTGGACACAGGATGGGTTCGCCTTTGATAGAACAGCAGAGGAGAAGGGTGTCCTGCATCTCTAGCCAAAGGGAGAGGGAGACCCTTGCTACACTACCCCTGCTGGGGCACACTCAGGAGGCACTTCACTTCTTCACGTGGAGAGTTGGGGAGTGTTTTGACAGCCACCGTGAGGGAGAGCAGAAAATGTAATGAAAATCCTCATATTGTGGGTAAAATGCACTACACTGGAAAACATCTTCATGAGGTAATATCATGCAGCGACAGGCTGCCACTTCAAAGGCCCACCCCACCACTAGAGGGAGAGACAATCCTATGCACATGTTTTTGATTCCTTTCACAAATGGGAACCTTCCAGTTCAATGCCTCTTATATTTAATCCTGGCCCTTTCCAAATCTCATAAGAGCAAACGGTGGAAAGAGGACGTTGAGTCCAATCTTCTGGCTTCCCTCTCCCCCAAGGTTATCAGTCATTTCAGAAACGTCTGCTGGTTTCCTTGCGCTTGATCTGGTGTCCAGGAGGACCCTGTTTTCCACGTTCTCTAGCTAGTCAGGTGCTTCCACGGAACCTCCTTCTGTGGGACCACTTCTTGCCTTTCTCCTGAATGCCAGATCTGATAACTGTCAGAGCTCTCCCTGACAGACAGGCCTCTAGCTGAGAGAGCTATTTTGGTTCCACTGACAAGGTGGCTGTCATCTGGAAGACACAGACATTTTCATTTTCAAGGAGCTCAGAAGGTAACAGGACAGAGTTTCTAGCCAAAACACTATTTTCTTAGGGAGAGTCTCTCCGCTCTTACTTTAGTCATTTAATGGACACAGTGCAGATAGATTTAGAACAAAAACCAGAGCAGAATTTCGAATTGTTATTTATAAATAGCAGTAGTTAGGGACGTGTGTCTAAAATAGCATGCTTGTATTTTAATTTATTTTATTTATTTATTCTAGGCTAGGTTATGCTGTGTCATGCTTCTCCTGCTTCAACCTCCCGAGTAGCTGGGATCACAGGCACGTGCCAGAGCACCTGGCTCGTTTGTACAGGGTCTCGCCATGTTGCCTAGGCCAGCCTTGAGTTCCCAATCCTTCTCTCTCCCTCTCCCTACTTGCTGGAAGTACAGAGATGTGTCATTGTGTCTGGGCTTTAAGTTCAACCTGGAGTTGACCCTAGGCCTTCCATGTGACCCCAGTCTGTAAGGGTGATGTCTTAGCAGCAGACATCATGATGGCTGGGCCCATGTCTGGCTTTTCTACTAGTTTCCAGAGTGTTCACATGTTAACATTGGAATGGATGAACTCACCTCTTCATTTGACTCCAAGTTCCCAAGTATATATGTGCTATGGTTTGAATATGTCCACCAGAAATTCCTGTACTGGGATTTTATTTTATCCCCTGTATTGTAAAGGTATTAAGGGAAAACTTAATTCCCTCATGGCGTCCCAGGGTGAGTGAGGCCTACGAGACAGTGATTATTTCGTGGTGATTGCATAATGGGAGTAAGAGTCTCATAAATGGAGGTCTACAAGACCCAGGGAGTTCTAGCTCTTATGAGAAAGGGTTAGTTCTCTGAAGACATAGATGTTATAAAAGAGGGATTGGTCATAATGGAAGTAAGAGTCTCATAGATGGATATCGGCAAGACCCATTGAGTTCTAGCTCTTTTGAGAAAGGGTTAGTTCTCTGAAGAGATAGTTGACATAGAAGAGGGATTGGTCAGGATCTCTCTCTCTCTCTTTCTTTCTTTCTCTCTCTCTCTTTCTCTCTGTGTGTGTCCTCCAAACTCTGTGGTTCCCACCATTTTAGATCTTAGACTTTGGACTTTCCAGCCACCGGAATTGTAAGTTTGAAAGTAGATGTCTATCTTCTTTATACAATCCCTCACGGTCAGCTATTTCTGTTAGCAATGCAGAAATGAACTAAGACACTATATAAACACGTCGATTTCTGAACGTGCCTCGTTTTCCCCACAAATCCAAGGGGTGTTTCATTGTGATCATTCCCTTTCTCTAGTTTGCAATGGGGCAGTGGTATGAAAACACAGTGCTCTAGGATGTATAACATCTTTAGTAACTGAGTACCGTATGAGCAAATAAAACTGGTGGTTCCACGTTTAAAAAATGAGGTATATGATTTTAATAGAAACATTAAAATTTCAAGTAAAGTTGAAAGGAGATAGTTTCCATATTGTGGCAATGGATTCCAACTTCTATTTGTGAATTTTAGATTTATATCTTTGAATTTCGTTATAGGGCACGTGCACTCACCAGACAGAGAGAGACAGAGAGATAGAAAGCGAGAAATCACCCCCCAGAGAGGATGGCCACCCCACAATCCCTTCTCCTCCATTCTCCTCTCGGGATCTTGGGCATGCACGCACACGCGCCCAGCGTGAGTTTTAAGCCACCGGGTCCGGGTCTCAAACCATGGTCGACTACGTGGGAGTCCAGTGACATAGCCATTATGCTAACTGCTGGTCCTTATAGCTTTGAATTTTAAAACTGTATTAACTAACCTATTCTTTAACGAATTTTGTGCTATGGAAATAAAGGCAATGCTATAAAAACATTTAGAAGACTATATTTTTTTGGAGAGATTTTTGTTATAGGGCATGTGTGCTAGCTAGAGAGACAGAGACAGGAAGGAAGAAATCACCCCCCGACCCCAAGGGAGGATGGCCATGCCGTAGTCCCTTCTCCTTCATCTTCCTCTTGGGACTTTGGGAATGCGTGCACACATACCTGGTGTGAGTTTCAAGCCACTAGGTCTGGGACTTGAACTGTGGTCAACCACATGGGAGTCTAGCTCCTTAACCTCTATACCATCGCTACATCTGAACCACTCTGCCATGAGCAGACACTTTTTA